TGAGTGGTTTTGTGTACATTCTAGGGCCCTGTGGGTCTCTTCAACGAACTCTCCAAATGTCCTGTGAGGCTGGGAGTTTCTCCTACCACTGCAACCCCCAAAGGTTTTTACAGCCAGAGGTTTTGAGGCTTTCTTTTCCTGCACCGGAACACTGGATTGCGCGATCTGTCTTGCTCCCCAAATGTTCCTCCTGGTTTATTCGTATGTGAATGTGGAACTGCATGGACCACCAGCTGTGGCCTTTCCCACCTGGTCCTCCAGCTGCCGCCTTACCCGCCCTGTGCCCCAGTTACCTCCTCCTCTGCCTGGTCTTCCAGCCGCAGCCTCGCCTGCCCAGTCCTCCAGCTGCTGCCCTGATGCAGGTCCTCTCCACCTAGGCTGCCTGTCTCCACACCTCCTACCAGTCTGGTTGAATGTTTCCTCTTTAACTTCTTGGTTGTCAAACTTCCATAAAGTTCGATTTTCTGGCAGTTCTGGTTATATTTTGTTTTTAGATTTGTCATTGTCCTTCTTTTGGTTGTGCAAAGAGGCAAAGTGTATCTACTTATGCCTCCATCTTGGCCAGAAGTCTACTGTTTGTTTTCTATATGTCTCATGTATGTTTTGTTCCTCTATTTTACCTTTGCTGCTTCCTTTTGCATGAAATGAATTTTTTAATGTAACACTTTAATTTTTTAATTATTTTTTCACTTTTTAGTCCTCTCTTAGAGGTTGCCTATATAAATGAATGAAATACTGTATACATTTTAACTTCTCAGAATCTGCTTTGGATTTATACTAACCCAGTGAGATAAAAGAAATAATACTCCTATATAGACTATTCCCTTTCCTCCCTTCTGTGTTACTGTTCTACATACCTATATGTTATAAAACCAACAATACATTGTTAAAATACCTACCTTATGTAATTTTATGTCTTTTAAAGACTATTAGAGAAGACAGAAGAGCAAGCACACACTTAAAGCTCTTGTTACAGTAGCCTTCTCATTTACTATTTCTAGTTTTGTTCATTTGTTTCTGTGTATTTGAGTTCCCCCTGTGAAGTCATTTCCTTAGTCCAGTACAGTTTTGCTCCCACTCACCTCCTCTGAGCTGGTATTGGCAAGTATATTATTAGGCCTATAACATGTAGAATATGATTATGTACACTTTGTTTTATAAAATTGCTTTTAAAATCAGCTGTGGGAGGATAGGCCATATGAGATATATGACTTGCAAATATTTTCTCCCATTCAGTAGGTTTTCCATTTTGTTGGTTTCCTTTGCTGTGTAGCAGCTTTTTATTGAATAGTTTGCTGTTGTCCCGTTTGTTGATTTTTGCTTTTATTGCCTTTGCTTTTTGTGTCAAGTCCAAAACATCATTGCCAAAAATGATGTCAGGGACCTAACAAGATATGTTTTTTCCCCCAGGAATTTTGTGGTTTCAGGTCTTACTTTCAAGTCTTCAATTCATTTTGAGTTGATTCTTGTGTATAGTGTGCTGTCAGTTTTCTTAGCAGCATTATCAAAAGGCTGTTCTTGGGTCCTTTGTCATAAATTAGTTGACCATGTATGTTTGTGTTTATTTCTGGGCTCTTTATTCTGTGCCATTGATTTATGTGGCTCCTTTTTGCCAGTATCATTACTGTTTTGATTACTAGAGCTTTGTAATATAGTTTGATGTTTTTCTTAAGCTTGCCTTGGCTATTTGGGTTCTTTTGTGGTTCCATACAAATTTGTTCTATTTGTAGATGGTTTGCTCTATTTCTGTGAACAATGCCTTTGGAATTTTGATAGGGATTGCATTGAATCTGTAGATTGCTTTGGGTAATCTACGAATTACCCAAATGTGGACATTTAAACAATATTAACTCTTCCAGTACATGAGCACACAATATCTTTCCATTTGTGTCTTCGTTCTTTCATCAGTGTCTTATAGTTTTTATTATACACCAGACAAATTTTGGAATGATGATGTTAGTATAATAATGCTGTCTGTATACAGGGGTGGGCAAAAGTACGTTTACAGTTGTGAGTACACAAAACAGAATTTTTTTATTGTATTATATATTTTCTGTACAAACAACTGTAAACCTACTTTTGCCCATCCCTGGATTCATAGTTTTCACATTGCTTTCATCAGTACTTTTTATTTGTTCTGTTCTTTCTCTTCATCTTGAGACTTTGCATGTATTATTTTGTCTCAGGTCTTTGCAAAATGAACCAAACATAAAATGTTTAGGAGTTTTATGATACACCTTTCTGTAAATTATAGCAAGTGTCTTCTAAACTTCATTACTTCTTACTATCCTCTTGTGATGGATGCTAATGACAACTGTCCTTGTTTCTGCAATTGGTGGGGATAATGAGATCCTTGTTCAGTGATATTTCTAAGTTGGGGATTAGTGAGTCATTCACTATGTGAAGCCAAGCCTATTATAAACACTATAAATGTTAAATGATGACGGCAGGGCCATTAATTCTGTCTAGATCTCCTGTCTCCCATGTCAGTGCTTGTTTCGAGTTAATAGTTCCTCAGGTGTTTCAGATCATAGCCCTCTTTCATGTCAGGCTAATTACTTTGCCAGGTTTACATTTTTTGCTATGTGTTACAGCTATGTTCAGAAGTTTGTACTGACTGACTGGGGAAGCCTCTCTAAACACTGATTACTCAGGGGGCCAACAAAAGAATATTGGATTTTCCCAGATTAAGCTTTTCTAGTACTTTCAGCTCTAGTTCTAATCCCCATATCTCATTAGTTGCAAAGCTATTTTCTTTAGAATGTTCCTGGTATTTGTTATTTATATAACAGATCTCATTCAGTTACATGCCTTTCATCTGCTAGCATCTTTTCTTTCTGAGAAACTTTTGGTAATGGCAGGAAACTTCCAGGGTTCAGGCAATCTTTGCAATGCCTAGATTATATTGTAGATTGCCGTTTTTGTTTTTGCGCTGCCAAGGAGGTTTATGATGGTATTTGAGGGCTGAGACTGATCTTGAAAGGTCAATTACTCTGGCATTTTAAGAAAACTTATGAAATTTGATTCGGTGAGGATTACTGACTAGTGTTAAATCTGTTAGGCGAATGGTTGATGGGGAACTAGAAATTTGTAGTGGACCAAAGTAAGGCCACCCAGAGAAATTCCTAGATGCTAGGAGTGGGTGGATCAGTCTTCACTACCCAAACTCATAGGTTAATCTTAGCATCACCTATGTTGGCTCAACCCTTTATCATGTCATTTGATGTGACACAACATAAAGTTCAGAGCACCATCTACAATACATTTTAGCTAAAAAATATTTAACTTGACTCCATTGAGCATTTAGATGTTTTAGATTTTTAAAATCTGAATATTTCCAATAAACTGAGGTGTAAATAAGCACTACAAGCAAGCAGGCAGACAGGTAAGTCCTTCTGCGCTCTATCTGTACTAGGCTCTTCAATAAATCAATGTCATAAAATTAGGGATTGTGCTGTATTCAAAGAGATTTAAGGGACAAAAAATTTGATACAATTCATGGTCTTGAATGGGATACTGGCTTGGACAAACCAACTGTAAAAGAAATTTTGGGGGCCAGGGAAAACTTGGAAATAGTCTGGATGTCATATGACATAAAATTTACTGAAATGGAGAGGTGGAGAATGTTGATGAGAAAAATCTGGTTACTAAAAAAAATTATATATAAATATATAGATAGAAAAAATGGAAGTGTATGCAATAAGGAGTAGAAGTGATACTTTTAGGTGATGTTGGGAAGATGGGATTTTCATGTATTATTTTTTCGCTCATCTCTCCCTCCTAATTTTTGCAATGCACATGTCACATGTCCTGTTTCTGTGTTAATACAAACTTATTTTTAAAAAAGTATATACTAACTTATCCTGCAAAGTTGGGTTGTTTTAGTATATTTCACAAGTTTTTTTCTTGATAAAGATTTTATAGTTTTTAGCATACTTTTTGAACTGTGTCTTTAGGTTCTGCATGCATCTCTTTTCTTAAAATTTAATTTTTTTATTATGGAAAGTATTAAACATATACAAAAGTAGATTGAATAATATGAATTTTCGTGTGCCCATCATCCAGCCTCAGCAATGTCAATTATGCCTAGTTTATTTCATTTCTACCCACCATTCCTCTCCACCCATTATTTTGAAGCAAATCCTACATCATATCTTTTCATTCATGAATAGTTCACTATTTATTTCCACAAGATAAAAACATAAAAATAGCACAATACTGATATCATACCAAACAATAAAAAAATAAAATCGTATCTTTAATATAATCAAATATGTATTCATTGCTCACCTTCCTCCAATTGCCTCATAACTGATTTTCTCCAATTGTGTTGTTTGAACCAGAGTGCAAGTAAGTTTCCGACATCACAGCTGGTCATCTTCATTGAGCCCTTTTAATCTCCGGGTTTTTTACTCTTCCTCCGCCATTTTTTCCCTTGCAGTTTATTTGTTGATGAAACTAGGCCCTTTAGTTTTTGTAATTTCTCACATTCTGCATTGTCCTGCATGCGCTCTCAGCCTTTTATAATGCCTAAGACAGGAAACTTCTTCTGGGATGCATCTGAGTGGGGTTCCCATTTAAAGCTCACAATATAACATATTTATGGAGTATTTGTAAAATCTGTAAATTGAAAGGGTTGATTTCCATCCTAAAGTCCTTCGAGTTTAAGACTGTTACAGCTCTGATTATTTCAGTAGGAGGAAACAACTATTGAAATAGGATGCACTGGGGCAGACTTTAGTGAGATCAGTTACACACATTTTTTTAGGTAGGAACTCCCCAGAATGTCATTTCAAAGCTAAATGAAAATTTACCCTGAAAGTACAGTCTGGTGTAATGGGGTTATCTTGAAATTTTATTTAATATCCTTAAGAGCTTGGTCTGTAAACATGCTTTCTAATGTGATACCTATGTACTATTTTTTTTTTTTTTTATTTTACTGCTAAGACTACTTAGGTCAAGATGTACACTGACTATTGATTTGTCTCTAATGATTGCAGGTTGAAGATGACAGCGATGCAGAGACCTATGGAGAAGAGAATGATGAACAGGGAAATTATTCTAAAAGAAAGATAGTCTCTAACTGGGATCGATATCAAGATACTGAAAAAGAGGGCAATAATGAAAGTGGAGAATCCCAGAGGGGGACAGATTTCAGTGTTCTTCTCAGCTCTGCAGGTATGAATTCCAGTTGCTTGCATACTGGTTAGTGCTATGAAAGTTGCATAGACATTTATGTCCCTTTTTCTATTGTATCTTAGTAACTAGCAATTCATCGTTTGCCCTTTGGATTTTAAATGCAAGTAAAGGACAGTGTGTCTAACACATTGCAAGGAAAAATGGCGTTTCTTTAAGTGGAAGTCAGGGTTTCCATGTACTGATGTAAAAGTCTTAAGTTGTGGTTGAAATGGATAAAAGTCTTTATAGAAATGAAAAATGCTGAACTATGCCCCTCTCAAGTGGGCAGTCTGAGAAACAGCACTGTTTTCTTTGATTTCAGAGGAATCGGTACTTAGGTTTATAAAAGGCTTTATAGAGTTTCTAGAATATATGTTCTTTTTTCCCTTATTTTATAGTCAGGAATGTGCATATTAGTGGATATGCACATATTAGACACACATGCACCTGAATACCGAACCTTTTCACTTTTGCCCTGGACAGGCCTTCTCTTTCAATAGGATGAAGAACTCATTCCTTCCTTAACAAGCTGTGTTTTTAAGGTTGACCTCACCTTGAGTGATGTGTAGCAGTGTGAAATTGGAGAGTAGTTAATTACAGGAAATAATGGGGCAGGACTGGTTGTATAGATGGCTACTTCCTATTGGGTGAAACATAAGAATTTGAAGGATGAATGGAATACAGATTAGTGGTTTTCAAGGATTAGGGATGGGAGGGGGGAAGTGAATGTGGTTGTGAAAGGGCGACAGAACGTGGTGCTGGTACCGATCATTATGTTGATTGTGCTGGGGGGATACAACACCCAGGCGAGTGATAAAATTATGTGGAACTTAAACACACACAAACAAAAGTGAACGCAAATAAACCTGGGAAAGCCTGAATGAGGTTGGTGGACTCTGCCGGTGTCAATATGTCCATACCCTGGTTGTGACAGTATACTCTAGTTTTACAGAATGTTTTCATTGGGGGATACAGGGCCAAGCATATGAGATTTCTCTGTATTATTTCTTACAACTGCATGTGGATCTACAGTAACCTCAATAAAAAAAATGCCCAGGTTAAAAAAAGGATTAAAGTGTGAGGAGCAGTGAAATAAAATGAAAATATTTTCAGTTTCAAATTCTCTTTTCCCCCGCCTTTTAAGTTGCTTTTGAATCCTGCCTTTTTTCCTATCTGCCTATATTTTTGAGTGCCTATACCAGACTAAGACTCATAACGTGAGGAGTTCTTTCCCTGTTTAATAGTTGGAAAGAAAGAGGGAAGTGGAGTGGGTATTAGGGTGTGAGTCGGAAGAGCAGGTTCAGTCTGGTGTCGTCATTTTTATGGGACATACAGTATAACCACCTTAGGTAGAGGTTTGCTGATGGCATCGGTGATTCAACTTTTTGCCAGTCAGAAGAGTATTTTTCTCTTGTTACCTGCATTTTCGCCATTTTGGGTTTAAAAGCACTTTTATTCGATCAAGGTTGGAGAAATATAAAATGTGTGCTGGTTTACTTCAGTTTTTATCAGTTGTTCTGCTAAAAGATTTACGGGGAAAATTGAAGTAGTGCAATAAAATTATCACGTGGACTTGACTGAATCAATTGTGTAGTCAGCTTCTATGCCAGTATCTGGCAATAAAAGATACTGCACAGTGCTCACTTCGGCAGCACATATACTAAAACTGGAATGATCCAGAGAAGATAAGCATGGCCCCTGCACAAGGATGGCACACAAATTCGTGAAGCGTTCCATATTTCTGAATGTCAGCTATAATTGAAAAAAAAGATAACGCATAGATATTTGAAGGCGCTTCGGAATTCTAGTCTAACCCAGCAGTTATGTGCATTGGCTTATGATTTTGGTTATTTATTTTAGCATTTATTTATAACTTAAAACCCAGCATGGTTTTGGTCTCATAGGTTGTTTTTTTTTTTGTTTTTTGTTTTGGTAGTCTCTTTGCTTACTGATTTCTTAAGTGGCTTGTTTATCTGTGGTTGGCTTCTTGGTAGATCACAACTATGCCATCTTTTGACGTGTGCTTACATTTCTTCCCCACTCTGCTACTGGTTTATTATTTTCCTTTCACATAGCATAAGCCTGAGAAAGAGCTGCCATGCTTTCTTCATATGTGTTGGAGTGGAGCTATATTGGTTTACTTTTGAGAAGTGGAATTTCATTCTGTGGTCATAAAATATTAAAAATATGCTCCAGATAGGCTCACCATACTTCTTGGAATAAGTCTCATTTTTAGTATGCTGCCCTTGTTTGTATAAACAAACCAAAACAGGAAAAAATATTGCCAATTTGTTAGATATGCACATCACAGACTTTCTAGATAGTTCCAGATTGCTCTCCAAAGTTGAGATGAGCTATATTCCTGGTTGTTCACTGTCTGCCAATATGTAACACTCAGTCTTTTTCATTGCAGCCAGTTGATTGAGTGGTATCTAGCTGAGGTTTAACAATTATTTGAGTGCCCACTATTTCCAGATACTGTTTTAGAAGCTGACTATATGGCGGTGCACAGAATGGACAAAACCAAAAAACACCTGTGACATGGGGTCAACGTTCTAGAGGTTGGAGGACACAATAAAGAAAAGTACGTAAGATGTTAAATGGTGATAATTGCTCAGGATACAATTAAAGTGGGGGAGGGGCTTTTACAATTTTAGAAAGGGTGGACAGAGAAGGTCTTACTGAGAAGATGACATTTTAATAAAGACTTGAGGAAGGCGAGGGAGCAGGCATTGAGGATCTGTGGTAAGAGTGCTGCAGGCAAAGAAAATAGCAAGTTCAAAGGCTTTGCATCTCTGAGATGAGCAGCCCCTGGAGGGTTTTGAAGAGAAGAGTAATGTAGCTAATTCATAGTGCAACAGGATCACTCTGGCTGCCGTGTTGGAATAACAGGAAGGCAGGCGAGGGGGCGGGGGGGGGCGGGGGGGGGCGGGCAGGTAGACCAGTTGCGCTATTGCAGCGATCCAGGCGAGCGTTGCTGGTGGCTGTGGCCAGGGTGGTAGCAGTAGAGGTGGTGAAACGTGGCTGGGTTCTGGATCTATTCTGAGGGAATTGCATGTAGGTCTTGCGAATGTGAGGAATAAAATAAAACTACGTACAGGTGTGACACCAGGTTTTTGGCCTAAACAGCTAGAAGAAGGGGATTGCCATGATCTGAGGTGGATAAAACTATAGGAGGTGCTCGGTTTTGAATGTGTTAAAATTGAGGTGTGAGTGAGACACCTTGCATCTCAAGGTGTATTCGTCAGAGTTACGAAGTAGATGGCACGCTCCATATACTCAGAAGGAAAGTTTTAACAGAGGAATCAGTTACAGAGGTGAGGGTAGGATTTGGGGAAAGCACAGGGATAGTGCAGTGTGGGAGGGCAGGCAGCAGTGCAGATGTAGAGCAGGGTAACACCTAGTTATCGGAACTCGGAAGGAGAGATTCACGGAGAGCAGTCTACCTTGAGAGGAGGCATCATCACCTTTGGTCAGGAGATCTAGCCAGTGACAGTGACTCCACAGAGAGAGATGGGAGTAAATACTCTGGTCTTTAACTCTCTTTCTCCTCCATTCTCCTGCTGGGGCTTCCTGCAAGCATAGCTTACTGGAGGCCAGAAGGCAAGAGAAGCCTGTTACTGTCATCCGTGTAGATAGACTCCCAGGGCAGGACAAGGAGGCAAAGGTTGCAGGGTGACTCTAGAATAGAAAATGGAAGAGACCCAGCTCAATAGCCACCCTGAAGTATCAAGTGGATGCTTGGATAAAGGCATCCAGGGTTCCGGGTCCAGGTCTGGAGTGAAGATACACATTCGAGCGATGCCAGCCTAGAGGTGATATTTGAAGTCATAAGAATGCATGAGATGACCAAGGCAGTTATTAGCCAGAAAAGCGCCGGGCCCTGGGCACCACAGTGTCCGGAGGTTAGGAGATGAGGAGAACCAGGGGAGGAACTTGAGCGTTAAGGGCAGAAGGGAAAACCAGGAGACTGTGGCATCTTCCAGTGTTTCCAGGAAGATAGAGGGGCCTGTGTCAAATGCAGCTGGTGACAACCAAGAATTGACAGTTGAATTTAACAACATGAGGTTACAGTGATCTTGACTAGAGGAGTTCTGTTGGAGTGGTGGGATAAATTCTTTCTTGGATTTAAAAGGAATATGGGAGGAGAGACATTTGAGATAGTATGCACAAATAACTTCATTTTAAGGAGTGTTACTGTAAAGGGAAGGAGAGTCATAATGGACTGGTGGGGAAAGTGGGTTAAGACATTTTTTAAAGATGGGAGAAGTAGCTGCATGTTTACTTGTAGGGACTATAATTGGAGGTAAAGTGAGAATTGCTGGTTTTATGCTCTGAGGTACACATGAAGTGTTAGAATTTATTGCACAGGTGGAGGGATTACCCATTGCTGGGTGTCTGGACGGATTTTCACCTGTAGTCGGAGAAAAGGCAGACTGTGTGGGCATAGATATAGGTAGGAGGGTAGATGTGGCAGGGGCTTGAGGAAGATCTCTTCTAATTGCTTCTATTTTCTTAATGAAAAAAGAAAGTTGTGTGTGAGGGCCAGGGAGGAGGAGAGATAGAAGATAAGAAAAAGTTGTCCAGGGAGTGGAAGAGGGAGTGAAGTGGGAGAGCGTGGCATGGCTGCTGGGTGGTGAAAGAGGGCCACGGAGGTTAGTGTTCAGAATTTAGGGTGGGAAGAGGTGTTTTTTCCCTCGTGCACTTCCTGCTGTATGGGTGCACATAGAGGGGTGGGCAGTGGGGTTTAATCATGATTACAGTTCAGCCAAGCAAATGCAACGAGGTGAGAGAAACGGGGGTGAGTTGAAAGACTGACACTGAATTTAAGCTGGTAGCTGGTAGGAGGGGTGTGCAGGCATTGGGGGCGGTGGTGGGCAGTGGTGGGGCGGTGGCGTCAGGAACTGTGGATTCCTGTGCACAAGGGCTGTCCACTTTCTTGCAGGGGGGTGAGTTACAAAGGTAGGAAGTGGCGGTGGCTGTAAAATCGAATGCTTGAT